ATTCTTTTGTTGTGGACGTGATAATTGTGTCATCTGTTTAAGCTGTATATAACTATTATTGTGTCATCAAAATTAATAGCCATCCATCTCCTTGGTCATTGATAAAAAATGCAAACAACAATGAGGACACATTTCCCCCCTATCTGCTAGGCTAGCAACAAAGTCAGATTTAATGCCATTAATGAATACACAAGATTTGTTGTACATATATTACTTCATTTAAGAATTGACCTTTAATACCTGCTTTTAGCAGTTTGCAATGGAGTGCGCGCTCAATAGCTGGCAAATGGTTTTGAGAGACAGGTGGGTGCTGTCACACTTCATTCAGCCTCACATCCTTAGAAACACATACAAATCCAGTCCACAGACAACCAAGAAAGCTGGGGACGGCCTCATTTTTTTAATGTTGCGTAAGTGCTTCAAAATCTTACATATTGAACCTTTAATAAAATAGTTTCATGTGTTCTGTTTGGTGTTTTATTTGCCAGATCAACAGGCCTCTCTTAACTAATACCATTAATATTGGCTTCATTGGATCCATCTTTCATGTCATCACTTGTGCTTTTGCTGCTATGAAAATTACAATTGATACTAATTAGTTACCTACTTACATTTTTAACTAACCAAATTTCTGGTGACATTTCTTTTTAATTCTATACAATTTACTTCAAATACTGCATTCAGTCACGCAGACAAAGTGACAAGTACCAATACAACAAGGCCTGTAACTGTGGCAATAGAATATGATTCTCAGTAATCTTGAGGAGTTTGCTTTTTGTACTTTAATCGATACTGCTGTGTGATCAATCACATTTTTCATGCACATCTACAATGAGGGGTGAGATGAACTCTGAGTGACGCAGTCCAAAGGAGAAGCTCGGAGCTTTTGGTCTTGTGAAGGTCACCTAGGAGGAGAAATATGTCAGTGAGAATGAACAAAAGGTAAAATATTTGGGGCCTTTGTGATAAACAAATAAGACACTTATTTAGCTAATTATACTATTGAATATATATATATACACATATAATAGAATGTATTTTTAGTTTAATTTAATAATTCGTTACAACTATTTGTATAGGTTTTATTGCTTAAAACACCATTAAATAATGTCTGGTTGGGTTTGATTTTAAAGGGCTAAGCCAAAATTGTTCAAATCGACTGGACCAGGAGCATTCAGATGCTGCGGCTGGTAGACTTAGCTCCTTTCAAACTTCTCTGTCTTCGGCTTTATTGCTGTAACACCTATTACCTATGACAGAAATAGCCCACAGTTATTGGAAAGGGAAGCGCGGGTTTGGATTAAACAGCAGCAGACACTGAGGCAATCACCCAGCCAGATTGGTTGGATGGGATCAGCCCACCAGCGGTACAATGACTGCCCCAGGATGAAAGGAAGAGAGCCAGGATAAGAGGCATGCTGGTCCAGCTTGGATTTAGGCATGGTGGTGCTTTTCAGTCATTCCCAATTTATGTAATTCTAACACTGTTTATGGACCCCAGTCTGCAGAAATATTCAAATACACTAGGCGAAAATAACACATTTATACCACATGCAAAAAACTGCATGTTTTTTGCTCCAAACTGTACGGGATTGGCATAAAGTGGGTATGTCTGTAAAGGGGAGACTTGTGGGTATCCAAACAACCTATTTTTATTCATATATCAAGGGATCACTCTAGAAAATGGCCATGCCGGTTTTTCCATTGCCAAAATTTAGCCTTACTTATTATTAGCATTATTTACCCCCCCCTCCCCCCTCCCTTCTTCACATGCTAGTTGCAATTGATACATTGGGTTATCTTGTTTCATATGATACCAATATATTCACTCTAGCTTTAAAATGGAGCCAGCTAAAGCCACTGAAAGGCAATGCAGAGTGGAAGAGGTAAGGATAATGGGGTGGCACTGAGAATGGCCAATCAGATTTCGGGGCCCCCCTCTGGACACACCCCTGCTCAGGCTGGCCAGACAAATCAAAGATCCCACATCTTTACAGACACATGCTCCATCAACAGCTTAGTGCTCAAATGCAGTCAAAGTAGGTGGAGACAGTTGAAACCATATTATCATCAGTATCTTGTTGCTGCTGTTTCCCCAGACACAAATTCAAAAGATGCACTGCAGAATTAGTGTGTTTATGTATTTTCTTCTTCTTTCTTCTTATGAATTTATTTCTCTCTTTCTATGTGTGTAGTATGAAGGAACTGCAAATTTTAACTTCTTTATACCACCTTGTGTTAGATATTGATAAATACATTTTCTTGATTCCTTGAATATCTTGTTGCTGCTTTTTACATTCCCCACAAATTCAAAAGATGCACTGAAGAATTATTTCCTGGTTGAGTATAAATAACTGTATATATTGGTTTTAATTTAATTATTTATTTATATGTGTGCAGCATGAAAGAACTGCAAACTTGTTAATTTTGTTATACAAACTGATGAAACTTGATATAATGATAAAAACATTTCCTGGATTCATGGATTAATTCTTTAAATTGATTCTTACCTGTTCAGGATAATGAGCACCGGGTCCTGGTTTCTTTGTGGTTTCACCTGGTGTGAAGTTGCGGCCTGTCATGCTATACTGGGGAGGTTTTTGGCTGTAAGTACAAGGGTCCACCACTTTGTAGGCAGCAGGGCCAGGAGTCTAGAGGGGAGGTTAAAGTATAAAGAGCAAGAGTCAATCACAGTTTTTTCAGATTTTTCATTTACATTTTTTTAAGATTGTTTTTATGACTGTGTACTGTATGTACCTTCTTCAGGTCTTCATGGAAGCTTCCATTTTTGCTGCGGCCACAGAGCGAGTAGGTGGGAGCTGCAGCTGTGGCCACAGTTTTGGGCCCCAGCACCGGCGGCAGAGAATAGGAGGCTGGACCTGCCAGTATGAGCAACAGGTGAAGTTTATAGTGCCATAAATCACATTGTAATCCACTGTTTAAATTGACACCAAATGGAATATGTTACCTGGTGTTTGGCTGTTGCTGATTTCTTTGCTCCTCCCAGCTAGAGAATAAGCAGGAGCAGCGCGAAAGATCACATTTCCTGACTTCTCTGGGGAATATTTGCCTGAAACATCAAAGACAGTTACATAAAGACACTGCTGACAGATAAACTCAAGTGACAGTCAGCATCGTGACAAAAATGGCATATTGTCAGCTTTCAGCGGGTAGATCAGCAGTATTTCATTTCCATGTGCTTTGACAAAATCTATTTTATGTGTAAGAGGTTTTGCTGACCTGGTCCAGGGGCTTGGAACAGTGCTGGGTCCTTTGGACGGCTGTGAAGTGAAAACGCAGGAGTGCCATCTCGGCCCCCTCTGGTGATGTTGGAGGGGATGAGGTATCTCGGTCCAGGTGAGCAGTTAGAATTGGCCTGATTGTGACGTATCCCAAAGCTGAACATTGGTGCTTTGTATTTAGTAGGGTCATGTTTTGAAATACCTTTATAGAAGAAACAAGGAAAGACAAGGTCAATTATGATAATAATGGTGTTGGTAGGAGAAAAAAAATCAAGTTAACAGCCATTTTAGCTTTACCTGTAAGTCCAGGTAGTGCATACTTGGGCCCTGGGCTACCGTAGAGGGCAGCTATGGGCCCTCTTGGCTTGTGAGGCCTCCAGCTCCCAACCCAAGCTTCAGCACTTGACATTGCCCTGAAGAGAGTTGCCTGTTACAAAACCACAAGAGGTCTCCCAAGTGCAGACAAATACATGCAATCAGTTACTGCTTTCAGTTAAGTTCAGTTACTGTCTTAAAGTAAGAAGTTAAAATGATTTCACCTCATTCAAATCCTGATCCTGCTGTGAGTTTCCCTCTTTATTAAGTTGTATCCCCCGGAACTCAGCATGCGCACTGAATCCAAACACAGATTGTTTATTGCTTTTCAGCTTCACTATGACAACGTTGCCATGGAGATGACTCTTTTTACATGCTTAATATATGTGTGTGTGTGTGTGTGTGTGTGTGTGTGTGTGAGTATGTGAACAGTGCAGGAATTTAAAAAATTTGAATACATAACACCACAGAATGCAGATGATGTAAATTATTTATTAGGTATGAAAGGTTGAAACAGGCCACAGTATCACACTGGACGCACTGTTTGGCTCTAATCTACTTATACTAAGATACAGTAGCTTACATACTATTGAACATGAAACAACAATTAACCTACAGTAAACATAGTATTAGTGTCATTATTTACTTCTTATATAGGGGCTTTATTGCCCTCTGTGAGTGGTGGTAATGTGTGAAAGGGGTAAAAACAACATGAACGCAACATTTTAATGTCAGAGTACAGCTCGAGAGACTCAGCCATATGCTGAGACAGGAGGGGGGAGATCGTAGGTCTTATGGTTGGCAATTTATTTGATTTACAAAAAAATATTGACAGTTGAATCCACACCCATTGTGTTCTTGTGATATTTTGTAAAGGGGAAGATATATTTTGGTGGTAAGATCTGGAGGGGGACTCCAGAGGCCAAATCTTACCTGGGGCTCCAAAAAGAAATGCCATCCTAATCAGCTTTTTTGACAGCAGATATTTTAGACAGAAGCACAAAGGTGTTACTAATAACCAACAACAACAATGGCTCTGTTTAATTAGTAAGTGTCCCAGTAAGTCGTGGCAGTGTGACAGTGAGCCAACATGCACAATACCAGGACCCTGAAACTGAAGCAGCTAAATGGAATTCAGCTATCACTTATTGTTTTATTAACTTTTCCTGCTGTGATATTTCAAAATGTCTTCTGTGAAAAAGAACCTTTTACACCTCTTAAAGCTGCTCACAAGCAGATGCCCAAGATCAAATACCACCAACTTTTAAAATAAAAACTGGATATGGACCCTTCAAAGTGTAGCATTGGTGCTGCAGGACCTCGTGAGGTATCTGTAGTTGTGGAAGGTTTCTCTCAAACTCGCCTTCAGGACCTTCATCAAAGCTGCAAGGCTTCCCATTTCCTCTTGGGGGCGCTGTTGGTTAAAAAAAAAGAATTAAACTATACATCTGTATATCATGTAAGGATTTTATACTGTAATTCCATATTTGTTTTACCCTTGTAAGTGTCCGCATCAGTCGTTGCAGCACTGCCTCTTCTCTGTGTGGACACAGGCTGGTCACCGTGCTCACACAGCTCAGTAGACAATAGATGGTGTGTCTCTGTGGCTGTGATGGTGTAATATAGAAAATAACATTTTAAATCTTTGCCAAAGATGCTTAGAATGCAAATGAAATGAAAAGAAAAAATACTAAGCATAAAATTACTTAACAGTATTGGAAGAAGTAGTCAGATCCTTTACTTAAGTCAAAGTATTGATACTGTAATACACCACTACAAGTAAGTAAGTAAGTAGTTTTTTTTTTTTTTTTACCTTCTTGAGCACACTGAGAGGCTTCCTGTTTGCTCCACTAATCAACTTGTTCACATCCTCTGCACTCAAAACAGGCTCCTGGATGGTTAAAGGAAACAGAGAAAGAATTTTGCCTTGGTATAAAAAGTGTAAACTGAAATTTATTAGATTATGGGGTTTATTTTTACTTTACAGCCATGTGCCATGTTGGTAATACTGACACTCTTTTTAATTTCACTGACCCTTAACTTGTCCAGCCAGGTCCACAACAGACAACTGAGAACATGAGGATCTGACTCTGTGACCAGCAGAGCCCAGCCACAGTCGCTACTGTTCAGTTCCTCCTGTTGAAAAGGTGAGTGACAGTATCAACTGAGTACCTTTAGGGTTCAAAATCAATATGATCTGATGTAAAATCAGGTTTGCACCAGTGTTTTTACCTGCAGCAAAGTGGATCTTTGCAAAATGGTTTCTCCTGGAGGACCTTGGTCTGCCATTGCCTTCGCAACAGCACGGGCAACTGTGGTTGGACCTGGATTCTGTGGATTTCTGCACAACTTCATACAACAGATCATGATGTTTTAAAGCATTCACATCAAAGCGTTCATTATCATCAGCTTTCTTCACACAGTGAAAATCAGTTACCTCAATGTTGGAGCTGTATTTGGGAAGTGCCTTTTTAGCTGTGCACTTAGACCTCTTAGCACAGTTATTGCTAGATATTGGGAAGTTGAGTATGTGAGATTCCTTTTCTGTGATCTGGTGGCCTGGTGAAAGTGGTGTGTGGATCGGACTAACTGGTCTCAGATCAGGTCGTATTAGATCCTGCATAGACCAGTGTCTCTCATTGCCAAGTGCTGAGGTGCTGTATGGACTGAACTCCAGATCCTTCAAGACAGAAAGCAACAAAGTGAGAAAAGCCTCTAGGACCAGTTTGATTTTACAGAAGACTTTCAAAAACTTTATGTAATTTTGGACAACTAATGTGAAACTGAACCTTTACTGCGATCTTGCTGAGGTCAGAGTCGCTGTAGCTGCGTTTGTCCAGCAGCACTTCTCTCTTCCTCTCCAAGAATCCCAGTGGCTCGTCCCAAGAGGATACTGACCCAGAGCCCACCCACGAGCCTTTATGACCCTCCCTCAATAGGGGCAGGTACTGTTTGGCCACCAGGGTCTCCCTTACAGTCCTACCCAAGGTCTTCAGTGCTGACCTCTTCTCCAGCTCAGCCTGGACCTCTGGAGGAGCAGGGACACCCAGGGCTAAGCAGGAGAGGTGCACACACAGGAGGTACACCACCTAATGAGATGGTCAAGACAATGTCAGGCAGGAGGAGGTGGTCAAGGGTTCTAGATTTTATGACACAGGATTAATGTAATATAATGATAAAGTCTTGACCTTGGGTGTGTGTCGGAGGGTGCGTGCCTCCTGGCCATGCAGCAGTAGTGCCTGTCGGTTTATGTAGTGCTGCAGGGTGAAAGGGGCTCCATGCCGCAGGCTGAGGTCTGGGTATTGGACCAGCTGTGTACAAAGCAGGCGAGCAAAGTCAAACACCTGGCTGATCTGTGTCCGGGTTTGGATAGAGCGAGGCCGTTTAATCCGCACATAGTGGACAGCCTCACTCGGACTGATGCGCAGGGTGTAGACCAAGTAACAGGCTATCAGGACACCTGTTGAGCAGAGACAAACACACTTAATAAACATGAGAACACTACATGTTCCGAGCTAACATGAACAAGTGCGATCAAGTGTGTACATAAACTGTAGATGCAGTGTATATGTTTAGTCCTACCTGTTCTGCCCAGGCCTGCATGGCAGTGCACAGCAACTCTTCCTTCCCTCACTGCAAAGGCCAAAACCTTCACTCCATCAATTATACCGACGAGAGAGGACACACCAAAGTCTGGCATCCCAAAGTTGTAAAAGTAAACTGCAAATATACAAATATACACCCACATTAGGAACATGATGGACGTTCATATGGATTAACTGTGTTTGTAGGCTACTTTATAATGTAATACACTGTATATAATGTAACTCTAATTGTCTCATCAGGTAATGTCCAAAAATATCTCATATGTTGTGTAAACTGTAAATAATAAATATCTCACTGTCATTTTCCATGAAGATCTGTGGAGAGTATGTGAAACCACTTTCAGGGTCTAGGGGCGGTCCACAGTGAGCATGCTCTCCTGGAAGCTGCATGTTGATGATTGATCTGACATTCAACCTGGGAAAAAGTTATAAATTGACACTAATGACTCTAGTGCAGTTTTTGTGTCTCAAAAGAAATATTTCTACTACTAATAAAGAACAATATATCCACAATTTGAGGAATTGATTAGTGTAATTAAAAAGCAATTATGTCAGACATCTTGTCCTCATTTTACCCAATAAAAGAGCTACAGACAGCAACTTCTCATCTAGATTTGTTTTTTCACTAATTACCTGTATGTGCACAGGGGGTTGTGCAATAGAAGGCCCTAATGCTGTCACACCTTTTAAGAAGGCTCATAATTCCTACTACTACAACTGCTTGTGTATAATTCATATCCACATACTACACAGTCACACGGGAGAACAACACAAACATTCCAAAGTTATAATGAACAGTGATAACCTTCGAAATTGTTCTATGATGTTGTACTTCTCAATTAGACGATTGGATGGGCGTGCCATGGCAATAATGTCATCGGTCACCCTGCAATAGGAAGAAGTTCATAATCAGTAAACTATCACTTTAAGACAGCATGCAACACGGCAGCATCTATGAAACTGCAGTCACATAGTCTCACCAGGAGGAGAAAATGCCTCGAATGACCTGTTGATTTAATTTCCAGCACTCTGGTCCTTCATAGCGACAGTCTATTCCTCCACAGGCCAGCAGACAGAGGAGCTTGGGTGGGATTGCCTTTACCAGGTTCTCCCTGGCCTGGGTGTAGGAGGGCCGTGGTACTGGTAGGTGTGAGGTGAGGGTCGGCATCATCCTGCACCAGGGGAAACCCCCAAGATCAGCCTGAGCTTTCACACACTACACATGAAGGACTATGCCCCCAGCTGGGCCAACTGGCAACCCCATGTCACCTTCCTGTCAGTGTATGTGAGCTTTTAACAAAGATACAGCTTGTTTAACGGACACTTAGTTATGTGTTATTACTTTTCATTGCAATCTTGCATATTGTGCATGAGTCTCAATACTAAAGTTGAGTTAGCTTCTGCTTGAGATGTATTTATTCTAAATTCACTTTACAAAAACAATCAATCTAATTTAAAACTTACCTTGCTTATAATATTGGACAGCGAAGCTGTAAATCCCATTTAATGTATTTCCAGAGTTTAAGAGTGCAGGGAATTGAAGAAAAAGCAGCAGAACACACATGTGCTCCTCCTTGCTGGCCCACCCTGCTGCTTACAGATACACAGTCACACACACACACACATACACAACTGTGTGCTGACCCAGCTTCACTAAGCCTGATTAGCTGTCATAAATACATTAGAACAGACATTACACATTACAGCAAGCCAATTATATAATGCTTATTCCTTCACCTATAAACAGCGTATGAAGGTAATATTACCGGACACCAGCCAAACCTTCATACACGATTTTACTGAAATTGTGATGTAGAGAAAATATTAATTGTTAGTAAGTAAATTTAAAATTAATTGTTGATCTCACTACTATTAATAAACACCCATAGGGTTTGCGTTTACTCTAAAAGAACAATATGTTGTTCATGTCCTGGTCTCATATTCAAACACACTAGCACAGTCTTTCCCTTCACCACTTCAGAACTATCTAAACAGAATTAAACATATTATGGGTGAGTGGAATAATAACTTTAAAACAAGTAGTTGTTGAAAAATTATTACTGTACAACTATTATGTGAAAAATTGGACTTCATAAAATCTATTAAAGTAGTTTTATTCAAATGGCTTCAAGTATGATAGAAAACACATATGACAGGATTATTGTTTTGTGCTGGTGCAGATCACCCAGTGTCTGCTGGAGTGGTTCTGGACATATCACCCCCTGTAGTGCAGCAATGATAACAGCATGATGATGATGGGGATAAACCCGCACTCTTCTTCTCTTAAAAATATTACCATATGAAGGATTTAACTCCCTAAACCATTTTTTTTAGAGTTTAAACACAACAATTGCTTTATTTGCTTAAGTATCCTGTTACACATTTTAGTACAGGTGCATGGTGGGGATCCATGGTGAGCATGCTCAGATATGCCCTCTATAATATTGTCCATCCTAAGTGTGAAAAGACATTTTTATTATGTGTAGCAGAAACAGAATTACCATCATCATGTTTGGAACATAAAATGATATCATTGCAAAAGGAAAGATTAGAAAAATATTAGAAATGTTTAAGTGTTCCTCCATGGCAAAACATTTAATAAATATAATTAAACATAATCTTTTAAATAGTGTTACTGTCCACTGTCACCTTCACTTCATGCACACTGCTACAGACTCATTCAGTAAACAACCATTTGCCTACCTTAACCTGTCAAACACAGAACCATATTGATCAGCATGCTGGCAAGGTTATCTCTACATTTCTCTCCTAGGCATCACAGAAATGCAGTGCAGATCATGAAGGCTCAATGCCTCCCTCAAATGTACCATTTATGGGCATTTTAGATGTACAACAACTCTCCACTTTGAAAGATTTGTAAGACAGCCACATGGCAGTTCTTATTTAAAATAAGCTTGTCTGCGTGGAGCTATTTTAAGCCGAGGCAGTATATTTTGTTGTGCAGACTATCTTAGACCACTCGCTAGC